AAAAAGGTTTAGTAGAAAGGCAGTGGTCAGTGTTAGAAGAGACAGAATTCTACAGTGCCCATGCAGCAGAAGGGCTACCCTAGCAGGAAAGTTAGAGTGTATTGTCTGTCCCCATGGGACATCTGACTGCTGGATATTCACATTACTCAGTTACATCCTTGACTGATTCCACCAAACATTTTATGGTTAGAATTTTTCTTCTCGGGACCAGTAGGTGGCATAGTAGTTAAGATGCTGGACTCCCTTACAGCCAACCGTGGTTCAATTTATGGTTTTGGTGGCGTGCATTCTCATTTTCCCTTTCTCTCTCTATGGTCAAATAAAAAAATAATAACAAATAAAAATGAATTTTTTTTAATTAAAATGTTTCTTCTCAACATTAAGTTAATACTTTGCCCAGATTTCACTGTCCAGTCCTTGAGATTATTACATTTGCTTCTTTAATGGCACAAAAATTCACTTTTTCTTTTACATATTGAAACAGTAATAACAATAACATTAGGTTTGCTAAATATTAACAAGGTGATTCTAGTAAGTAGAAGAAGAGTTTATTAGAATTGCCTAGGTGTACTTTCAAACATCATAGTTTTTCACTGTGTCTTTATCTCACTCTTGCTCTATGAAGTCATTTTGAAATTGCCTTGCTGTTTGATCCAGACTACTGATGGTAATAGGATTAATCAATTTACAGATTAAGCAGTTTATTTTTCGATAGATTTGTAGCCTAGGAAAAGTACTGCTTTCCTTTGTCCCTTCATGACTGCATAGGAAGATCTTGAAAATACTACATTTTTATCTTCTTCCTTAGGCTGTGTCAGGCCTTAGGATAAATGCTGGCAAATAGATGAAAAGATACAGTCTTTACCATTTGGGAACTCATTGTTTATGGATGGAATAGACAAGGATTAACTGCAATCTTTGGAAAGAGGGAGAAGATCTAAAAAAGTTATTAAATGTGTTTAATAAATAAGTTTGTGCTAGACAGAAAGGAGGTAGGAAGAACATTTGATTTTCTTTCTTTAACAATTCTGTTTGTTTTAATTAATTATTTTCCATGAATGAGGAAGAGAGAGCTTTCCTAATAGACCTTGATGCCACAATCCACCCCTAGCCTCAACCAGCCCCTAATCATGGATGCATGCTTAGAGAGGCCTCCATATGTGAACCCGGAAACTTCCTGTGTGGGTTCATCTCAAAGACCACTGTGTTTATTGCTATGCCACCAGCTAGCCCAGCCAAGACATTTGAAATTAGACAGCGTGTAAAGGCAAAGAAGGAGAGTATCTTTGGAAAATGTCAGGAGTGAATTCGGAATGGTAGACGTGGCCAGAATGGTAAGTTTAGGCCTGATCATGAAGAGCCTTAAACAATATGCATAGGAATTTGCCTTTTATCTTGTAGGCAATGGGAAACCAGTAAAGTTTTTTTTTTTTATTGTTGTTTAATTTTTTTTTTTGGGAGAGGTTATTGCTGTAGGGTGTGTACACTCGCCAGACAGAGAGAGACCAAGAGACAGAAAGTGAGAAATCACCCCCAGGGGGCTGACCATGCCGCCATTCCTTCTCCTCCATTCTCCTCTCGGGTTCTTGGCACACACGCACATGTCCCCTGTGTGAGTTTAAGCCACTGGGTCCGGGACTTGAACTGTGGTCAACTACATTGGAGTCCAGGGACATAACCATTATGCCATCTGCTGGTCCCTGATTTAACCTTTTTAATGGATAAATTAATACTTAGTGAGAATTGCTTATTTATATGAAAAGTAAGAAATGATTGCTTCTCCTAATACTCTCAAAGGAAGTGATTTCGTTAGATTCAATGAATATTTGTTACATGAATGAAAGACCAGACCTGCTGCACTACATTAATCTTTACCTAAAATGTAGGTACGCACTGATACAGATTAGCAGTTTTGCAAAATGTTTTAAGAACTATATATATTTCACACTTTAGAATTCTTCCTAATAAAACTTCTGCTTAATTAAATCAATAAATGCATTGTAGCACAGACTGACACAACAGAACATATATGATACAGACCAGTGAAACCAAAGACCTAGCTCTTTAGTATCTGTAACAATTATATTTAGTATTTCTGCTCTTTAGTATGATTTTCAAAATAAGATTGGATAGATTACCCGCATTCATTTCTTCTGGGGTGTTTCATCATTGGACCCCACCCCAGATACACTGAATCAGAATTTATATACTCCTAAGATACTCCTTAGGTGATTATTCCTTTGCTAAAGTTTATGAATCACTATTTGAAACTTAAGGAAGCATCTGATAAAACTGTTTTAGCTAAATGAAGAAAACTCTGAAGTCATCTTGTCTTTCACTTTTTTCTACCACCAATGTAGCTGTGTTGCACTAAACACTTATTGCTATGATCACAACTTTTGTTTAGCACATAGCAAATTCAAAGCTTGTTAACATCCCTGATAGTAAATACCCTACATTGTAGTTCTTACACCTTTTGTTATCCTGTTTTCTTTTACTTTATCTTGCAGCCACTTAGAAATTTTCTTTTGTTTCTAAAGACTCTATAATCTTTTTTTAAAATAATTGTTTTATTGGGAACCAGCAGTTAGCGTAATGGCTATGTCGCTGGACTCCCACGTAGTCAACCGTGGTTCGCGTCCCAGACCCGGTGGCTTAAAACTCACGCTGGGCGCGTGTGCGTACGTGCCCGATCCCGAGAGGAGAATGGAGGAGAAGGGATTGCAGCGTGACCATCCCCCTGGGGGGTGATTTCTTGCTTTCTGTCTCTATGTCTCTGTCTGTCTGGCGAGCACACGTGCCCTATAGTGAAAACCTCTCTTTAAAAAAAAAAAAATTGTTTTATTTAACTTTATTTATTTAGTTATTTTAATTTGACCAGAGAGGGACAGAGTGAGAGATGGGGTTGGGGGGGAGCAGTGAGAAAGCAACAGAGAGAAAGAGGGAAAGTGAGAAAGCAAGCTGCCAAGTCTGGGACTTGAACCACGATCCGCCATGTGGGAGTCCAGTGCCCTTAACTACCATGCCACCTGTCAGCCCCAGAGACTAATCTTGCAGATACTGTTTCTTCTGCCTGAACTGTTTCTCTTCATTTTTTTTCCCCTATCTTTTTCTATCCAGTGGATTTACATTTATATTTCAAGCATAGGTGTTACTTCTTTAAAATTATTATTTTTAAAAAAAAATATTTTATTTTATTTTCTATTGTTATTATTTTTTAATTTGTTATAGGGCACATGAGCTCACCAGAAAGGCAGAGAAAGAGAGAGAGAAAGTGAGAAAGCAAGCCATAGGTCCAGGACTTGAACTGCAGTTGGCCATATGGGAGTCCAGTTCCTTAACCACCATGCCACCTGCTGGCCCAAGTCTGAAATTCTTAGGCATAGCCAGGATATGAAATCACTGTAGGTGTCCATCAACAGACGTAGGTATAAAAGATACTGCGGTATTTATACCTAATAGAATACTATTCAAGCATTGAAAAGAACGAAGTACTAAGCCTGGAGGACATTGTGTTAAGTGAAGGGATCCAGCACAAAAGGAGAAATACTGCATGCTCTCACTCATATGTGGAAATTGAAAAAAAATGACTTTATTGAGGTAGAAAGTAGAAGAATAAGTGCGAGGAGAAAAGGGTAGGGAGGAGAAGGGGAAGAGATGATAATTAACAAACAAAATCACAGATAAGAGAAACAAATTCTAATGTATGAAGTAAAATAAGGTGACTATAGTTAACAGTTTCTTGGGTATCTCAGAGTAGCTGAAAATGGATTTTGAATGTTCCCAACAGAATAATGAAAATAGTTGAAGTGATGAATATGCTAATTATCCTGATTTGATCATAACACTTTATACTGAAAAATCATATCCCATAAATATGTGGTTATATATCAGTAAAAAGTAAATACATCCTGTGAACCTTAACTACCCACTGAACTAAAATGAATTAAAATAAATAACTTCAAGCAGAGCTCATGTTCCAGTTTTCTGTCCCCATAGCATTTTGTTTATGCCTCTGTTGTATGTTGTGCTTGGTCATTATTTCTTTCCATCAAATTGAGACCTAGAGAGTAGGGGGTAGGGATCATGTCATGTCCATCTGTGCTTTCCTGGTGTAGGCCCGACTCCCCATAGGTGTGCAGTGAGTAATACTCAGTGTGTAAATGAATCACTCAAGTGGAGTACCTGTTAACTTGCCGAATATGTGTTCTGTCATTTGCGTTTTCTATCAATAGATGGAGTTTATTTATATTATTTTTCCATACAGAGTGTAAACAGTTTTAAGGAATTATTTAGTCTTTTTTTTTTTTTCCCTGAAATAGATTCTGACATCAGAGTACTTGAAGATCAGTTTGATGAAATCATAGTAGATATAGCCACAAAACGTAAGCAGTATCCCAGAAAGATCCTTGAATGTGTCATCAAAACCATAAAAGCAAAACAAGAAATTCTGGTAAGGTGATTTATCTTTAAATATTATGTATTTTAAAGTATAAGATCTATGTGGAGATAAAATGACATTTTGTTGTCTTTGTCTTTCTTGCTTTCAGTACCTGTCTAGTGTTTATCTCTTATAAGACTTTTCCCTGTTCTAAGTCATGCTAAGTTTGTTTTGTTTTTTGGAGAAGTTTTTTTTTTGCTATAGGGTGCATGTGCTTGCCAGAAAGACAAGAGAGAGAGAGAGAGAGACACACAGAGAGATAGAAAGTGAGAAGTCACCCCTCAGGGGGGATGGCCATGCTGCAATCCCTTCTCCTCCATTCTCCTCTCGGGATCTTGGGCACACACACACGCGCGCCTGGCGTGAGTTTAAGCTACCGGGTCTGGGACTTGAACCGCGGTTGACTACATGGGAGCCCAGCGACATAGCCATTACACTAAATGCTGGTCCATAAGTCATGCTAAGTTTTAAATACAGCTGATACTAAAATTTAAATTGGAGGTGGAAGTCTTACAATGACTTCGTGATTTATGAGGCCAGGAAGGGGGGAGAGGTTTTTTTGCTATAGAGAGTGTACACTCGCCAGAAAAATAGAGACAGAGAGACAGAAAGTGAGAAATCACCCCCCAGGGGGGATGGCCACGCTGCAATCCCTTCTCTATTCTCCTCTTGGGATCTTGGGCATGCATACACATGCACCTGGCATGAGTTTAAGCCACGGGGTCTGGGACTCAAACCACGGTTGACTACATGGGAGTCCAGCAACATAGCCATTACACTAACTGCTGGTCCTGAACATTGATCTTTTAACCTCTTTTCTTTCTGTTTGTCATTCTACTTGTGTTTGTCATAATATTTACATATGTATGTTTTGGAAAACCCTTTAGTTAAATTGATGCTGAAAATTGTTTGAGTACCTATTAATAGCCCTGAACTTTGCTTTATGAATTGCATATAATTTATTTTGCCCCCTAAATCACAACCATCTGGGTCACAAGACCAGGAAGTTAATTCCTTTAGTATGAGCTTTTTAGACAAGCAGGGTTGTAGACTTGCTTCCTACTTATTACCATAGATACCAGTCATCAACCATTTCACACCCCCGTTTACTGAGATCTATTAGGACTGGAATAAATAAAATATAAACAAGAAATACACAGGCAAATTAGACCTAAAGCTACTATGGTATCAGCATATCACAGTGTATTTAGGCATCAGCATGCCGACATGGTAACCTAGGAGAGAGTAGCTGAAATGGGTTTCGAATGTTCCCAATAGAATAATGAAAATAGTTGAAGTGATGGACATTCTAATTATCCTGATTTGATCATAACACTTTATACTAAAAAAATCATATCCCATAAGTATATACAGTTATCATATATCAGTAAAAAGTAAATTTATGATTCAACCATAATTTGGAGACTCCCTGTTTTCTGAACACAAAATTCAGTCTCTGCCTTTACTTGTTTGATCGCCGTTTCTGACTATACTTCCTTATGGCGCTGTTCCTCAGTGTGTGCAGTAGGTGGCAGTACTATAAAAGGTATAATTGAGACATTTTGGCTGGTCTTTTCCATCCCTATAGACCTCAGGATCTATTTTTCCCCCCTCAAAAGAATGTACTACTGACTATATATTTGCTTACATTAGCTAAAGGAAATTGTGTATATGAGGTCTTTAGTGATTAAGTCTGTTCTAATTTATATTTAGAAGCAGTACCATCCTGTTGTACATCCATTGGACCTAAAATATGACCCTGATCCAGGTGAGTCAGTATTTATTTATGGTAAAAATAAAGCACTGGCTTATAGCTTTCATGAGTTTCTGATATTCTGATACAGAGGTGGACATCAAAGATCTTCCCTTTGATGCTTTAACTCACTACCGCCATCGTGTTTAGCTCTTCACTTAGAATTCTAAGAACTCCCTGTTTACCTCCTGATTCTGAATCTCCAGGGGAGTCTGAACTTTTATAAAGGTCTCTCCTGATCTAGACCATTATACCTACTCTTCTCTAGAGTCTGTAAAATACTCTCCCATCTCTTAACTGCAATTTTATGATAATATGCACTCTTCATTACAGCTGAAGTTATGCTGTTAAAGCATCCTCTCCTAGTGTCACGCCTCAGTGTATTAACTTGATTGGTTACTCATTGTTTATAAAGTGAGATCCAATAAAAAAATGCAGTATTGAACTTAAGTATAAACTCATTTTACCATTATGCCTTCAAATTCAATTCTGTTTCCATTTAGATGCATCTTTTAGAACACAAATAAAATTAAATCCAGTAACAGAATTGTTAACAGTAACAGTAGATGCTAAAAATGTGGACTGTATACATTTTTAATGACTTTATTCTCACATTTAAAAATCTATAACAATTTTCCTAGGAGACCTTTTGGAATTTGCCTTTGGCACCCAAAAATGCCATTTCTGAACTATAGAAAAACAGTCAAATCCTTGATTTATTTGCATTATGGGATGTTTTACTTATGGCTTCAAGTAGCTTAGCTTTGTTGAATTCTGAACTGCGGTTTAACTTGTTCCACCACATTCCCCATATCTCCTAAGCCAAAGGAATGATCTGAGAGGGGGAAGAACAAGCATAAAGCTACTTGGAAGTTGGTTAGAATCATAGCACTCAACTGTGTTTGACATTAAACCTTGAGCTGAGCTCTAATGCTTAATCAGTTGTCATGGTTCGCTAAAAAGGGGTAGTTGCCAAAATGCAGCAGTTGATATATACTGGTTTTAGTTTTGAACAACAGAAAAATAGGAATCAAAATAGGCTGTGTCTTAATACACTCAGATATTAACTTTTTTTTTTTTTTTGAGAGTTTTTTGCTATAGGGCGCGTGCGATTGCCGGACAGACAGAGACAGACTGAGACAGAAAGCGAGAAATCACCTCCCAGGGAGGATGGCCACGCCACAATCCCTTCTCCTCCATTCTCCTCTCGGGATCTTGGGCACGCACGCACACGCGTCAGGCGTGAGTTTAAGCCACCGGGTCCGGGACTGGAACCGCGGTCAACTATGTGGGAGTCCAGTGACAGCCATTACGCTAACTGCCGGTCCCCACTCAGGGATTTCTTTTTTAAAGAAACTCAGTAACGGGACCAGCAGTTAGCATAATGGCTATGTCGCTGGACTCCCACGTAGTCAACCGCTGTTCGAGTCCCAGACCCGGTGGCTTAAACTCACGCCTGATGCATGTGCATGAGTGCCCAAGATCCTAAGAGGAGAATGGAGGAGAAGGGATTGCGGCGTGGCCATCCTCCCTGGGAGGTGATTTCTCGCTTTCTGTCTCTCTTGTCAATCCCTGTCTTTCTGGGGAGCACACGCACTCTATAGCAAAAACCTCTACAAAAAAAAGAAAAAAAAAAAAGAAACTCAGTAACCTTTTTTAATCTTAGGAAGGAAAACCGTTTGATCCTTTAAAGGTGTACATGATTTTACTCCCATTATTCTGGTTATATTGTATGTGTTAGTGGAAAAATCCTCTGTATCATGATTCTGACTTCAGAAGTAAGCAAAGAATAATTAGAATCTATCTTTTGGGTAAATTTTGAGATTTTATTGTACATTTTCATAGTACTTACAAGCTTAGAATAGCATTAGTTTCTTATGGATGGCAAAATTAACTTGTGGTTATTAACTGTAAACTTTTGGCTAAGTCACTTCTTTAAGCCTCAGTTTCTTTATTAGAATAATGTTAAATTCTAGATTTGGAGCCTTTAGGTGTGAATTACAGCTCTGTCACTAAATATTAAAGAATTTCCTTTCTAGTTACCAAGGTTGTGGTATAAATGAAATGAAATAAAAGGCTATATAAACTATAACTGAAATAATACATAATAGTTTATTAGGAGGTGCTGTGTAATAATAAGTCTGTTATATATCACATCCCATTTACAGCAGCATCCCTTATGACATTGCATACCGTCTAATACACTTAGTTGGTAAAATCATAAGAAACTAATGAAAATGGCTTAGGAGAGGGATCAGCAGTTAGCGTAATGGCTATGTCGCTGGACTCCCATGTTGTTGACCACGGTTCGAGTCTCAGACCTGGTGGCTTAAAACTCACACCGGGCGCGTGTGCGTGCGTGCCCAAGATCCTGAGAGGAGAATGGAGGAGAAGGGATTGCAGCGTGGCCATCCCCCCTGGGGGGTGATTTATTGCTTTCTATCTCTCTGTCTGGCGAGCACACGCGCCCTATAGCAAAAACCTCTCTTAAAAAAAAAATGGCTTAGGAGAAAGGCAGAAAACATAAGTTTTTGTGTATCCTAAAAAACTCAGTAGGCTGCATGAGAAAACTTTTGTGGGAACCACTTAAAAGTTCTTTTTTTACTAGACAAGTAAGTGATATCAAATTTCTTTGAAAGCCAGCACTTTTAAAGGAGTAGGTCTTCTATCTGGGACTGACCACAGCTTGAGTTCCAGACATGGCAGCTTGCTTTCTCACTTTCCCTCTCTGTCTCTCTCTGATAAAATTAAGAATGAATAAATAAATAAATAAACATAAGTATTTATTTATTTATTTTTTAAAGAGGGTTATCAGATTTTCAAAATGTACTACTCAGGCAGCATGTATAACATTGATTCAGCTTAGTTATTTTAGAAACTTTGGGAGGTATATAGAGATAAAGTAGACAGATTATTCCCATAAAAAGCTTATATTGGCGCTGGCAGGTGGTGTGGTGGTTAAGGGTGCTGGACTCCCACATGGCTAACTGTAGTTTGAGTCCTGGACCTGGTGGCTTGCTTTCTCACTTTCCCTCTCTCTCTTGGTGTCGTTCTCACTCTCTCACTCTCACTCTATCCATCTCTGTGGAGATGGAAAATTAAAATAAATAAATAAAATTAAAATTAAAAAACAAAAAGTTAAATAAAATAATTCTTTTTTTTTTGGAGAGATTTTTGCTATAGAACATGTGCACTTGCCAGAAAGACAGAGACAGACAGAAAGCATCAGCCCCGCCCGGGGGATGGCCACGCCACAATCCCTGCCCCTCCATTTTCCTCTCGGGATCTTGGGCACGCACACACGCACCTGGCGTGAGTTTAAGCCATTGGGTTCAGGACTCGAACCATGGTCGACTACATGGAAATCCAGCAACATAGCCATTACGCCAACTGCTGGTCCCCATTTCTTTTTAAATTCTATTTTATTATAATCTTCTTGAGAAGCTTTTATTTTGAAGAGTTCAGATTCTCCATCTTTCATTCTGAGTTCCATCTGACTTCTAAATGAAGTATAATTATTTTCTCTTAGCTGCTCTAAGTTTCCTTGGGATGCTGCTTGTGCCTTATGTTTTTGCATGTTAACTTGAATGTCCATTTCAAATTGACCGGATCTTAAATTTCCTTGGAAACTAACTTCTCCATTTTCATATTCATTTAACTTCTTTCTTGTCATTTCTAAGAATTTCTTAAATCCAGTTATCTCTTTCTCTAATTCACCATTTTTCTTTATTTCTTAATTCAAGTTATATTCCAGAGATTGTTTTAGCTCAGCAAGTTTCTTTAATTGTTCTTTTTCATCCTCAGATGCGTTTGGTGTGGATTACTTCTGTAGCTGGCTCATCTTCTATGTTCATTTTAGTTCTTATTCCCAGTTTTGTACTTTTAATGCAAGCTTAATGTAACATTTTAAATAATCATGTGTCTGTATACAAGGGGGGGTGTCTTTAAAAAGTTCATGGAAAATATATGAGAAAACTATGCATGGATTTCAGTTTTTTGCACCAAAATAAATTTATTGTTTAATTCCACTTTTTCACAAACATTTTGAAGACCCCACTTGTATATAAAAATACAGTATACCCCATCCTCCCAAGTTGACCCAATGTGTCATACCTTCAAATAGGCCACTACTGTTAACAGTTTGGCTCATCTAATTTTAGATCTGTATCATTGCATTGTACACAGGCAAACAGGCATAGTGATTTTAAAAAGTTATTTATATAAATGTTACAAAATACATTTGATTCTGCCACTTTTTTGTCTATGCGTACCCCAGAGAGAGAGACAGAGAGGGACAATGGGGAACAGCGAGAAATCCTCCCAGGATGGGGATGGCCATGTTGTAATCCCTTCTTCATCTTCCTCTGGGTATTTTGGGCACACATGCATGCATGCACACAAACTTACTGTGTTTTTCAAGCTACTGGGTCTAGGACTTGAATGCAGAGTCAGCTATATGGGATCTAGCTGCCTTAACAACTACATCTCCTGTTGGCCTCAGCACTGTTTTACTTTTTACACTTACCAATGTAACATATAGTGCAACTTTTTTATTGGTAATTTTATCATGCTTATCTATATGCTCGCACAGCAATTTAATTTAAATTGGATTATGCACATATTTTTGGGGGGGAGATTGTTTTGCTTCGCTTGCTTCCTCTTTCCTCCCATTTCTTCAGTAACATTTCCATGTGTACGTTCAATCTGAGACTCCTATCTTCTAAAAAAGTCTGTAATCTAGGACCAGCATTTGGCGTGGTTAAGGCTCTGGATTCCCACATGACCAATCATTAGTTTGAGTCCCAAACCCAGTGGCTTGAAAATCATGCTGGGTATATGTGCTTGTGTGCCCAAAATCCCAAGAGGAGAATGGAGGGAAAGGATTGTGGCATGGCCATCCCCCCTGGGTATGGGGTAGTGATTTCTCACTATCTCTGAGGCAAGCACACATATCCTATGGCAAAAAAATCTTAAAAATCTTTAACCTAATCTTTCAACTTGGCTTCTTTATCTTT